CATTGCACGCTATGTGTACGTACACACGCACGCACGACACGCACGCACATACGTGTACGTGCAACGAACGCACGCACGCACGCACGCAGGCACATACCTGTACGTGCCAACGCACGCACGCATGCACGCATTGTACGTGCAACACGGCACGCGCACGTAATTACGTTTACGAATGCACGCACAGTACGATGCATACGCACCGCACGCAGCCACACCTAGCATGCAGCACGGGTACGTACACACGCACCCACGCAGCATTGCACGCACCGAGTACGTGCACACGCACGCACGCACATGTACGTGCACACGCAGCGCAAACGTGCGTGCACAACCACGCACACACTGCACAATGCACGTACATTGTATGACAACACGCACACGCACGCACACACGTGCCGTTTACACGCACGCACACACGCAGCATGCACGCAGTTACTACACGACGCAGGCACGCACGCACGCAAACTTGTCCGTGCAAACGGCACGCACGCTGGCACGCATGCGTACGGTGCACACGCACGCCCCGCAGTACATACGCACGCACTGTACGCACCGATGATGTTACGACACCACGAAGCACACACGATACGCATGCACGCACGGTGGAGTACACACGCACCACGCGCATGCACGCCGAGTACGTGCACACGCACGCACGCACACACGCACGCAACACTTGTTAGTCGCGCAGCATGTACGTGCCAACACGACATCGACTGCCACAGCCACACGCACGGCAGTGCACACACGGACCTGCAGCAGCCACGCACGCATAGCGCACGAGCACTACATGTATGAAACACGCACACGCACGCACAACGACGCTGACGTTTACACGCACGCGACACACGCACGCATGCACGCATGTGTACGTTACGCACGCACGCAGCGCACGCAACGCACATACGTGTACGTGCAAACCGACGCAGTATGCACGCCATTGTACTTGCACACGCACGCCCGCACGTACATACGCACGCATGCACGCGCCACTGTTACGTGCATACGCACGCACGCAAGCACAACACTACGGCATGCACGCCACGGCGGGTACGTACACATGCACCACACGCACGCATGCACGCACGAGTATCGTGCCACGCACGCACGCCACATGCTACGTGCACACGCACGCACACACGCTGGACGTGCAACCCCACGCACACACTCAGCGATGCACGTACATTTTGGTATTGACAACACGCACACGCACGCCACACACGTGCACGTTTTACAACGCACGCTACACAACGCACGCCATGCACGCATGTGTACGACACACACGCACCGCACGCACGTCACATACGGTCAGTTGCAACGCAACGTCTACGCATGCACGCATGTGTACGTGAAAAACGCAACGCCGCATTACTACCAAGCATGACGCACCTGACGTTGCAGTACGCACGCCACGGCAAGCACACACTACGATGACACACGGTACGTACACCACGCACCCACGCACGCATCACGACGAGTACGTGACACGCCGCAAGCATCATGTACGTCACACTCACGCACACACGTGAAGTGCACACCCACGCAACACGCAGCATGCACGGTACATGTATGACACACGCACGCACGCACGTACTTGTACGTGACAGCACGCACGCACACGTGGACGGCACACACGCAGCGCACGACTATATATTGCAGCGCGAATATAGGGAGGTGTACGACATAGGGGTCTTCTGCAGTATACAGTGTACTACATACATACATGAATCTCAATTAAAAATATTACATAACTCCTCAGCACACACAAAGATAAACACCGCTTCACATATGCACCACGAGATTACGTGAATTTCTCATAACATATTACATATACTCCTGTGAGCACACACAAAAGAATCAATCACCAGTTCACTATGCACCACTAATATCACGGAATCTCACATAATACTATTACCAAACTCCTGAGCACACACAAAGAATCAACATTCAATTCAATATGCACCATGAATATCACGTGAATCTCAATAAAACATATTCATAAATCCTCAGCACACCAAAAGAATAAACACCCACTCACATATGGCACGCAATAGCGCACACGTAAGAGCATGCACTCCGCACGACAACGCACGCACACATTGTAGTGTCACACGGCAATGCGCACATGAAACGGCATGCACACACGTGTACCCTGCACACGCACGACACCACACGCACGCATGCACTTACATGTATGACACACGCACCACGACGCACACAGTGCACGTTTACACGCACGCACACACGCACGCATGCACGCATGTGTACGTACACACGCACGCACGCACGCACGCACGCACATACGTGTACGTGCAAACGCACGCACGCATGCACGCATGTGTACGTGCACACGCACGCCCGCACGTACATACGCACGCATGCACGCACGCAAGCACACACGTACGCATGCACGCACGGGTACGTACACACGCACCCACGCACGCATGCACGCACGAGTACGTGCACACGCACGCACGCACATGTACGTGCACACGCACGCACACACGTGTACCTGCACACGCACGCATGCACGTACATGTATGACCACACGCACACGCACGCACACACGTGCACGTTTACACGCACGCATGCACGCATGTGTACGTACACATGCACGCACGCACGCACATACGTGTACGTGCAAACGCACGCACGCATGCACGCATGTGTACGTGCACACGCACGCCCGCACGTACATACGCACGCATGCACGCACCTGTACAAGCATACGCACGCACGCACGTACGCATGCACGCACAGGTACGTACACACGCACCCACGCACGCATGCACGCACGAGTACGTGCGCACGCACGCACGCACACACGTGTACCTGCACACGCACGCATGCACGTACATGTATGACCACACGCACACGCACGCACACACGTGCACGTTTACACGCACGCACACACGCACGCATGCACGTACATGTATGACAACACGCACACGCACGCACACACGTGCACGTTTACACGCACGCACACACGCACGCATGTGTATGTACACACGCACATACGTGTACGTGCAAACGCACGCACGCATGCACGCATGTGTACGTACACACGCACGCACGCACGCACGCACATACGTGTACGTGCAAACGCACGCACGCATGCACGCATGTGTACGTTCACATGCACGCACGCACGCACGCACTTGTACGTGCACACGCACACACGTGGACGTGCACACCCACGCACGCATATATATTGTCAGCGCGAATATAGGTGGTGTACGACAGTAGGGGCTCTTCTGCAGGTCATACATGTACCTACATACATACATGAATCTCAATAAACATATTACATAACTCCTCAGCACACACAAAAGAATAAACACCCACTCTATCCCGGGTGTGCATATGGGTACGCGGATAATCTTCACCTCTGCAGATGTGCTGCCCTCCAGCGGCAACTGTTTCTAGCGGCTAACCCCATTTGCTACTCCCAAGGCACCCTCCACCCCTGCCTGGAAAATGGGAGTGCCACTATGGATGTATATTTTGGTCTTGCGATAGTTTGCATTCAATAAAGGGGCCAATTTTGTCATATTATTGTGGTTTAAATGTGAATTTCTAGCTGGCCAGCTAAAGAATACAAGTTTATGTTGCAGGCTAGGGTAATTTTTTATTGTGCCACAGACTGCAGCGTTGCAGGCCACGATGTAAACGTTTGTCTCCGATTCGTGTCATAGATTGTAGTATAGCCCTGTACCGGAAGCGAAGGGGCTACGCTGGTACAGCTATTTCTTCATCTGATCTGGATCTTTGGCAGTGGGATCAAGTCTGCCCCTCCCACAACGCTCACACTGCAGCACACACACACGTATATATATATAACAACATGGTGTCTAACTCGCCACCGAGTTTGGCCAACTCACTGTTTACAATCACCTCCAACTCTGGTGTTCCTGCAGATGTCACCACTTTCTAATGATTGTTAGAATCACTGATGACTTCTTAACCATCTACATTCTACACCCACCATTTTTGAACAATCGGACTGCCAAAATGCATTCAAATCACTGGAAATCCTCAAATATTGGTGCAAAACGACTGCTCGAATGTTACACAGGCTGAGACAGGCACGGGCAACTGTTGGTGGCACACACAATTTCAATGCACGCACACCACTGTGCACAAACTTACACTACAGCAGGGTTCTCCAAGAGCACCTATAGCCTGGCGGCCCGCCAGGCTATCGTCGAGCCCCGCCATCCTAAAATGCACCCGCCACTCTAAATATCATAGCCGCCATGCTAAATATCATAGCCCCTGGACCCCCCTAGCACGCAAACCGCCTTCGGCGATTTGCAACTAGGATCGTAAAGGCAGCACCCGCCATGCTATAACGAAAAAGCTTGGAGAACCTTGTACAGAGAGATATGATAGGTGGAAAAGCGTGAGTGCCAAATTCTCACAACACATCTTCACAGCGCAAATACACAAACAACCGCCTCCATATTGATATCTATAATGCGTAGCCGAATGTTCACTTGTTCAAATTATCGCCCTTGCCGATGGATAGATCATAGTTTACCTAGAAAAATATAGTATATTCCTGCAGAAAACTCCCCCTTCATGGCAATGTAAATGGGATCAACTGCTTGTTTATACATGAGTAATGGCGATGCATTGCATTCTGTGTTCAAGCTAATGATTATCATGCACACGGAAGCAAACTTGAACATACCTGCCTTTAACTCTTGGCCAGAACGATGTGTTATCCATCCAGGTTTCTTCCCAGGTATTTTAGAAGGCCTGTTGAGCAATCTCGCAGTTCATCTCCGATTGCTAATTAGAGTCAATTACTTGTGTCGTAAGCGGCCCCAATACGCAGGTAAACTTTATTATTTTGGAAACATGTTCATGAAGTTGTAAAAACAGTATGACTGTCTGGGAATTTGAAAAGGTAAAGACAGCTCGAAATTAATGCATGTCAATTAGGCAATTACGGCATCCCGGGGGATTAATAAAATAATGAGAGGTCGCAAATAAGGTTTAGCTTTAAAGGTATGTCGACCCCGACATGCATTAAAGACCTGAGGAGAACCCTGTGTCATAATGGTGCTATTTTTCAGAGATCTCAGAAGTCGTCATCAGAATCATCAAATAGCTCCTCAGATTCTGATTCGAGCTCCTCATCTAATTCTGGTTCGGCATCCGAGAGAACTCCAGCCAAACAGAGAAGCCCAGCCTCCTCCCCAAAGAGTAACACGCCTAAACGTGCTCGCATAGGTATCGATGTTTGACACACTTGACAAAGTAATGCATAATAACGTCTGTATTAATGTTACCCGATTACAGGACTCTGTTAGGGAGTGTATGTGTGAAAATTAAGATTAATATGTGTGCATACATGTGCAGTTTTACTCCACATTTTTCCAATTCAATTAAAAATTATCATTCCATGTAAAAAGATTTAAGTTATTAGACGAATAGACATCATTCTTTAGATCACATATTATACTGCAGCAGCATACTGTCAATGCCATAGGCAGTAATGTACTAATTGTATTAAAATACGTTAAGCATCCCGTAACAAGAGCATCACCTCTAACACTTGCATATGTATGTTTGTTAACAAGCTGACAGTCCCAGGAGGTCATTGAGAGGGCGTCACCAGCCACTCTCATTTGATCCCGACCCTGTATGTAGTTTCTGCTTGTTGACTGCTGAAGAAAATAAGCAAGGAAGCCCAGAAGATCTCATTTCATGCGCTCGGTGTGGCAATAGTGGTACGTTCGCATTGGTGATTGTAGCAAAGTACGAGCAAAATCTAATCACATTGTGAAAATAATAGTGAAATGTTTCAATCATTTACAACAAATCACTGATGTTTATTTATAGTTTTCATTTAATGAAAAAGAAATTAGCAGTCACATTTTTTATTTTGCAATAATTTGCATTCACCTAATGTCCATACAATTAGTTTTATGTATGTTCTACCTTACAAAACAATTACACATTATTGCAGGTCATCCATCATGCTTTCGCTTCTCAGAAAAACTGACAGAAAAAATTCGAAGTTACAAGTGGCTTTGCTATAAGTGCAAAGCATGTGAGATCTGTGATACATCTAAAAATGAGGTACTGAAAATAGATTTAACTGTACTCATGACTGTTTGCATGGTTAATGCACTTGGTTCAGAGTATATTTAAATGCCTTCAAGAATACTAACAGCATAATGCTCGATTCTTTCTGTTTGTAACTAGGTATTTTATGTGTATTTTCTATTGCTAGCGTCAACTTTTGCTGTGTGATGAATGTGACAGAGGATACCACATATATTGTATGGAGCCAAAGCTCAAGAAAATGCCAGAGAGTGAGTTTTAGTTTTTCATTCTGCTCGATAAAAATGTAAACACTAGGAATGCTGCAGATTCCATCATGATTTAAAGTTAAAGTCATGGTTATTTTTTCTACATGCTAATTTTTAATGTTTAATATCACTGAGAACTAATTACAAACCTCTATGTAAAACTTGCCATTATTCAATACAGATGCTGCCATTACATTTGGTGCTTCTGTTGGCAGTTATGAAAGTTGCACCTTTTATTTTTGGACATTTCAGATCAGGATCTTATAACAATAGTAAAATGGAATTTAGTCACTACCATCGTTTCACTGTAGAAATTCATACATATGTTGTGTATGCATAATGTAACTGAAATGCTCATGTATGTATGTCAAATTCTCTTATCATTAAAATGATTAAAAAGCCCTGTGTGAAGTGTAGAAAAATAAAAATAAAAATTACAACTGATGTCTTCAACGTGAGGTGGGTACAAGCAATGGGGCCTTTCATTAATATATATATATATATATTTACAAATTGTGGCATTTTGAAATCAAGTAACTACTAATTTCTAATTATAGTTTAACAACAAGAATTGGTGTGTAAGATAACAGTGATAATAGTGTGATTTGTGAGTGTACTCTTATAAGTGCAAATAATTTATTTGCTTGATTTAATTTAAACTTACCACACTTGGGAAATTGGCATTAGCTGAATGTCAGCGATCAGAGATAAATTGATTAGAAAAGAAAACAACAGTCAACTTAAACAATGTGCTTTCTTCTGACAGCTGCCTGGACATGTGAGATTTGCAAAAATCCAGAGAAAGCAGCAGCAAAGGAGAGGCAGAGGAGACGCATGTCAGTCCCCTCCAGTTTCATGGAGAAGGCCAAGTCTCGTAGTGCCCTGCAAAGCAGTACAGGTGTACTATATAGTATTTACTAGTCCCTGTCATATTCATTATGCATGAACATTGCCAGCTGCTTTTGACATTTGAAGCTAGTATTGAACTGACGTCTTCATAGTATAATTCTGTATGTGCTGAAAGCATACCGATTATGTTGTTGTTTTAGTGTTAAAATGTATAAAAGTATGATAACATCCTGTTGGGTGGCATTCACAAATATCAACAATATCAGTCAATAATACTCATTAGTGCATCACGTGATAAATCGTTGAAATTCTATTGGATAACGTCGCAGGCACTATGAAGCAATAGTGCCCGCCTGAGCGGGCACTATTACATGCGCGACGCATTGTTATTATAACGCATTGTGTTTACGTCACGAATCTCCTGCGTTTGGGCGCCACGCAAGAGTTTCGAATTAATGACGATTGTGTTTGTGTCGAGCGTTTTGTTACATCGAATGCACCGGCAAATTAGGGAGTATAAAGAAGGTTTATAAGCATGAAAAGTAGATTGCATAGTCATGTGATGCACTAAAAACATTAATGCCTGTTGTTGGGGGCACTATGCTGTCATAGTGTTGCTTTGGGAAGGAATAGTGCCCTCGCTGCCGCTCGGGCACTATACCTTCCCTCAGCAACACTATGAGAGCATAGTGCCCCCAACAACAGGCATTAATATATAATTGTACATTGGTGAAGGGAGGGGACAAGAGCAATTGCACACTTTTAGAAATGGAAATTAAAGTCGATTAATACCTTTCCGGCAAAATTTGAGACTTCAACATTTTATTCTGTAAACGTTTAGATAAATGGGGGCATGAACAGATCTATGGTCTGTATTTTGTGATAATGTTGATATTTGTAGATGCTTATCAGCTATGTTTATCAGCCATATTTGATTCCAATGTGCAAAAATGCTTGTATTCAGATCTCACTGTCGCACTGTAGATATCACATTTTGCTGTGAAACACCAACTGTAGTTATTATACATCTAGTAATATTGACTGGATAATCTCGGTGATGTGAGTTCCGGCGTATTTATCCATTAGAGGGCTCTGATAGTGACACTCCGAGTGAGAAGTCTGCAGCCTCTAAGCGCTCTAAGAAGAAGAGCAACAGCAAGCAGTCGGGCACCTTTGGTACACGTGTTCAGCCTCACAGAAGAGGGAGGGTTATTTCATATGAAGATCTGAAGTGTCCAACACCTGGTTGTGATGGCCTAGGTAAGCCTAACATCGGGTCTTGCTAACACTTTTTACCTAGTAAAGTCGTGTGTTTGTCAGATATATTTGTTCATCGGTTGTTTTAGTGAAAATGTGAGTTATGTGTCAGGTGAAATTCGATTCTGGTTATATCATTCCAACTATCACTCCCCACATGAAGTTGTACCTTTCTATTTATCTGTTATACAAGTTTACTTGGTCAAAAGTATGCTTGATAAAACTAAATTTGTGTGCTTTCTCTATCACATTTGATGTAAATTTATGTGTGTATGCTTTTTATACTGACTGTGTTGCTGGTGCAATTGCAGGTCATTATTCAGGAAAGTACGACACACATCATACTGTGACTGGGTGTCCTTTGTATCATAATATGTCGGCTGAGGAGTGCAAGGTATGCAGCAAATGTTCTTTCATGCTCGTCATCTTACTCACTTTACATACAGCCACGAGTGTTTTGTTCAGACTCATTCCTCTGTCGCTTGCGAGAAATCAGTCTCACTATGATTTGCTAGCTGAGCATTTAGTTATGGTAAGATTTTAATGGTACCGTCACTGACAGACAGCATGCAATATGCCTGTGTACATGCCTGTGTATGATGTTTTCATGTATGTGTCACTTAAAAAATACAAACACTAAGTTTCATTCTATAATTCACGGACAATGTGCCGCTTGTGTAATTCAATTTTCAAACAAAACTTTTATGGTAGAAGTATGTCATAAAGTGAAAACAATAATTCTATGCTCAACACCATATCGACCTTTTTTATTATGTTTGCAGTTAATAAATTCTACAGTTTTGCTGCTTTTGTTTTAAGCAACATAGAATTGTATTTTATAATTTTCAAAGATGCTATAATAGCAATAATATCATCCTAAAATATAGGTATGAATGATTCACGTAATTTTTCAACGTTCTGCGTTTCAAACGAGGTCTTGTGGCAAATACAGAGTCCTAATGCCACTGGGATTGTAGTGTCAGTATCCTTTAACAGCTGGTATATGAACAGAGGCAAGGTGAAACAAAGGAGCGGAAAAAAGACGGCGAAATCGTGCAGGAAGCGGAGAAGGCAGGTGACAAGGTACGTGCTTGAATATGATGAATACACACATACACATTTAGATACAGAGTGGCTACGCGTCCGGTCATCCATTACAAAGCTCAGCACAGATTCCCAAATCCGTGTCACGATTAGGCCTCTTTCAAATCATTGATTTTACTGGATTTACTATTGCTTCAAACGTTACAAAAACACATTTTTTTGATAAAATACCTAAAGGTAAGTAATATTATGGTAAAAACTTATTGTTTATTGTTTTTTACTGAAAAAAATATAGTTGTGTTCACATAAGAAATATATGACCGGACGCGTAGCCTGAGAGCTGGGCGTCCGGTAACCAGACGCGTAGCCACGGCCATCTAGATAACATGTCTCGTAAGTGGAGGTAGTATATTTATGTTTCCCGTTTCATTCTACTGTAGAGTAAAATGTCTTGTGGTATCTCTGAGTGATGCGATTTACCGTCCATGTTCATCATACCCAAAAGGGTTTCCCCCGTCTGGTATGAACATCTAGCTGAGCAAGTTTATTTTGTGTCCGCTTCAGTTTATCTGGAAATTTTCAATTAATTTATTGATCTAGGAGAAGGTAAGAGAATTGCAAAGGAAGAAAAAAGAAAAGATCAGATTGGCGAGAAAGAAGCCTGAAATTACGAACGAGGTGATAGACAGGATGAATGCCCACAGGCAGCAGTTTGACAAAGCACGACAGCCACTGCTGGAAGGACTCACTTCTAGCTACGATTTGGAGTTATTCCTGGCTGCTCAGAGCAAGGCATCTGAGGTTATGGTAAGTTGGACGAATGGTCATTTAAAAGAAAACTGCCATTGTGTAGTTCAGGGGTGAGAAGTGATCATGCGACGAAATTACCTAATCACGAGGGAAGATTTTAAATGTAATGTTACAGAATGATCTGCTCTTCTCATGCCACATTTATCACCATGTGAACAATGTAGCGTTATTGTATCAATATGTAAAATTTTCTTACAAATGCCAAGCTTTCACTGTCGTTTTCTAAAGCCTAGCGCAGACCTGCGATTTTTGGTTGCTCGTTGCTGCAACCTGCAACCGCAAGCGATCGGTCGATGTGTCGCCGCGTGTGCGCACACATGCGATTTCGAAGCAATTCTGTAGCAATTTGGGAGCGATTGGGAGCGACGAGTCGCTCAAAATCAAAACAGTTTGATTTCTTGCAACTCGTCGCAAGCGACCAGAATCGCTACGGGTTACAGTTGTACGTTCCCGCAGACGTAGCGATTTCACAGCAATTTTAACAGCGATTCTAGAATCGCTGTCGAGTTGCATGAAAAAGTCGCAGTTCTGCGCTAGGCTTAACTGGTTTCAGCAACTGTGTGGAAATTTCTTGCTGTTTTTTTTTTCAGGAAGAGGAGCTGAAGAAGTATCCACCGAATGGTCAGATTCGCGTCATTGAGTTCGGCCGCTATGAGTTGGACACGTGGTACTCCAGCCCATACCCAGAGGAATACGCTCGGCTGGCCAAACTCTACATCTGCGAGTTCTGTCTGAAGTACATGAAGAGCAAGACGATACTGAAGAGGCATGCGGTATGTTGGGTCGGCATGGGCAGCCACACCTACCGACGCACGCGAACCAAATACAGTCACAAGATAGTGTGAAGTTGTTTTTGAAGTGCTTGCTTTTGATACGTGTAACTACTAATATTTCATTAGTTTCAAACTAATGAGAACACTAGTACCTAGACTGCTAGCTACATGCCCACACGCCTGCTAGCATGCACGCCCGCACACACATACGCACGTTGGTTTGGGCTAATCAGTGCTGCTACCATGTGAAAAACTTATCATGTAAATTTTAATTTCTAACGCATAGTTGAACAATTTGTAAGACGTGACAGAGGTAACACGAGTGCGAGCTATAGTGTGTGTGTGTGTGTGTGTGTGCGTGCGTGCGTGCGTGCGTGCGTGCGTGCGTGCGTGCGTGCGTGCGTGCATACATGCATGCATGCTAGCAGGCATGTGGGCATGTGTGCATGTGTATCTGTCTGTGCATGTTACTTATATTACTTACTGTATAAAGCTGGCAATAATATATCAGTTATTATGAATTTTTTTAACAATAATATGCTAAAGTGTCTATCATTATATTATACTTCTATTACAGGCCAAATGTGTATGGCGCCACCCACCAGGGGATGAAATCTACAGACATGGAAGCATTTCTGTCTTTGAGGTCGATGGACAAAAAAACAAGGTGAGCATAATAGATTTATATTTATTGCAACCAATAAGTGGAGCACCCATACTATAAGCACTGTTGTAAATGCTAGTTGTAAACCAAGCTGTACTTTGATTGTATGAAACCAAAGTTGAAATTCAGTAAGTTAGTTTTGATTCTAGGAAAGTTTTGAATAAATACTAGTAAGAGTACTGTTTCAAACGTAATGATTAGTATGTGTTTTTTATGTTATATTTGAGTAAAATGTTGTATCTGTGCAGATCTACTGTCAGAACTTGTGTTTGCTGGCAAAACTGTTCCTTGATCATAAGACGCTCTATTTCGATGTGGAGCCATTCCTGTTTTACGTAATGACAGAAGCTGACAACAATGGCTGTCACATAGTTGGCTACTTCTCCAAGGTACATGTACACTCGTTCTTATTTGCTGCAAATTGCTACTCCTAGTATGATAGTAGATACACTAGTTGGCTTTTGCATCACATGCTGCACTAGAAGAAGTATAATAGTTTAGATTTAAGTTTCACACTATCATGTTAAATTTATGTTGTTGATCAGGGTTGTGTTGGCTGAGAAAATGAACAAATGCTTAGTCTTTATTTTCTGTAGGAGGTGACGGTTATACATTTAATGATTGCCAAGTCCTATGTGCCGCATATATTTAAAGTTGATTGAATGGGAACTGATTTCATTGCTAATCACAGTTTCTATATAACTGCAGGAGAAGAACTCATTCCTGAATTACAATGTATCCTGCATCCTCACGTTACCACAGTACATGAGGCAAGGCTACGGCAAGATGCTAATAGACTTTAGTATGTATTCTTCCAACATCATTAACCTATTGTTAGAGTTAACGCATTACGTATTTCACAGGTGTGATTAGATTGGCTACTATTTCTCACAACTCAGGAAGCTTTGTGAGACTGGCAATACTAGTGTTTCTGTATGTGTGTGTGTGTGTGCGTGCGTGCGTCTGTGCATGCGTGTGTGTGTGTGTATAATATGTAACTAAAGATTATTAACTCATTTGTTCTCAAAGAATTTCATTATGTTGGTGTTAAGAATACTCTCAACCTTTTGCACGGGTATTGCTCTAATGAAGATTAAACGTTTATTGACGAATGAATCGAATCAATCACTTGTTTTATTTATAGAGGAGATATATCTTTATGCTAAAGGCAAAAAAATTCATGCAATTTCCAGCACCTAATTATGTTACCACAAAAATTTTGAATTTTTATGTAAAAATGGTACTTTGGATATTTCTCAATTACCAGAAAGAGTGAGGATACAAAATTTTCGCCACATGTTAAGCACAATATGTACCAAAATAGTGCATCAGGATTTTTCTTTAAGTTTCATATTTACCGAAAAAAATTAAAAAAACTGCCTAAAATTCAAGTCGCACGTTAGAATTAAAAAATTTTGCGAATAAAGAGACATAACTCATAAAATACGGCACTTAATAACAATCCCTGACGCGCTTTTTTACAGCAATATGTTACCATTAAAACGAGTGTAAAATTAAATTATTCCGTGTTGTAATCACAGAGAAATAGCCATTTATACATCGACTACTAGGTCAGAAATTGGAACGGAGAAATCAGCGTTTTTCTGACGTCAGCCGCGGCTCACTACACATGTACGCGGGTTGTACGTAGAGCAAAACGCTCTGACAGTTTACATGTCATGTTATATGGAGAAATTAGCATGTACACAGGTGGCACATAGTGTTAGCCATCGAATAAAGTTGAAAATTAAAAATCGGTAAAAATTTTCCTAAAACCTTGAGAGTATCCTTAACCACTCTGTATTAGAGTGGAATAGTAACTAGTTAACTAATTGAGTACGAACGCATTCTACAGTACTATGTGTAAAAAACACATTGAGATGTTACTTCTGCACTATCCAATGTTTTTCTGTCCATGTCAAACTTAAGCTTTTGCTTTACCCTTTACCCTTGTTTACTTGCTCTTTGTCAAGGTTACCTGCTGACAAGAATAGAAGAGAAAACAGGTTCGCCAGAAAAGCCCCTGTCTGATCTGGGTCTAATCACATATAGAAGCTACTGGAAGAGTGTGTTACTCGATTACCTCAGTGAATACACAGGAAAGGAGCTGTCAATAAAAGGTATGTTGTTACCAACTTCCATTGTATCCTCGCTAGTAAATGCGAGTTGTGTTTTGTCAGTTTATACAGTACACAATCTATTATCCGAAAACCAACAATTTTTTCGTGGTGGTTGTCTGCACACCAAAGCTCGCGTTAGGCTGCGCAATGTTCACTGCAGAAATGTTAATGTGTTGGGCATTACTCATACATATTGTACTGTACCGGTACAGCAATTCGTCTCTTGAAAACTTGGCTTTTAGTACTGGCTAGTTGCAGGATATACGGTATGTATACCCGGACCCGGTTCCACAGTCGTGGATTAACTCTTAACTCTGAGAAGTTAACTCGGAGTTAAATTCCGTTCCACAGTCGTGGATTAACTTTAACTCTGAGTTAAAATTTAACTCTGGTATGAACCTAGATTAAACTCTTAACTCAGGGTTAAAAATCAAGTTGTACATTCGATTTAGTTCTAGATAGTCTTCGGTATAATCCTTTAGACTAGTTTCTACGAGGTTAGTTTAGCTCTAGGGTACTAGTACTAGAGCTAATTAGTTTATCTAGTACTGCCCCGTGTTCGATCCCCCACTGCCACTGGAACATAGGTGTTTGTTTACGTTTGGTGTACATTGGTCGGCCATTGATGGCGTACCAACGCTGATCCAGGCATCCGTACTGTGATAATATGGGAAAATGTACGATATTTAGCGATGCCGCAGTTGTTAAAGCGCCTTGCTAATGACACGAACATTGCTGGTTCAATCCCCGCATTGGCAAAATATTTTCCCTCATTTATTTATCGCTGCCAGTTTTCATTATAACGTTTTTTCATTACACCTGCTACCATGTTCGTGCGTCTATCATGCGTCTATGCGTCTATCATGCGTCTATCATGTTTGTCTGTTCTAACTACGTGGAATTATGGGATACTAACTCTGAGTTAAAACATGTAACTCTGAGTTACTTAACTCAGGATTTAATTCATGTTTATGAAACCCAAATTTAACTCAGAGTTAGTGAGTTTAACTCAGAGTTAGTCTTAACTCAGGGTTAAAGTTAATCCACGACTGTGGAACGTGGTCCTGTACTGTACTACAATTCCGAAACGTGTCTGGTCCCAAGGGTTTCGGATAATAGATTGTGTACTGTATTAATGTTTAATCTAAAAAAAAAATAGTGGAAAGCTGAAATTCCCATTGCTTTTCAATTAGCATTTTGGTTCTTGTTCAGGTGTGACAAATTCAAAAAAGCATTGAGTAACCTGATACGATGTAATTTAGCCCCTGCATTGCATGTACCTATCAATGTGTAAATACATATTTGTATGGACATTATGAAAGATTGATCGCAATTTTATTATATCATAGATTTGAGTCATGCTACTGGAATCAATACCTATGACATCGTGAGCACATTCCAAGCTCTGGGTATGCTGAAGTATTGGAAAGGCAAACATCTGGTTCTTAAGCGACAGGTCAGTGGATTGATAATGTATATTGATAAAATTTGTACTTTACACTCAAGACCTCGACTCATGCACTCGATAACATGCTATAAACAGGCAAATTGAACTGTTCAAGAAACTGTCCAATGGAATGCAATGAAAATAAATTACATATTTGTTAAAAGTCAATATGCTATGTTAATTCATCTTTAAATCAGCTAATTGGGGTAGAGGTAAATAGCTGTAGGTCGGATAATATCAGGAGTCTATTGATTTCATCCAAAGGCTGCTGATAGCATTTCTGCTGGTGCTGGATTCTTAACTGATCACTTGTAATAAATAAGCCAAAGCACCCATGTATAACACATGATCACAGGCAGTGTTATAGAGAAAAGGGGGGTAGGAAAGTGAGGGAGAGATATGGAGAATAAGAGACAGGGAGAATGGGCAAAAAGAGAGAGAGGGGGCAAAGGGAGGGACCAAGCGAGCAATAATGAGGTCACTAAAGAGAAATTCCATGAACTATTCGAGACTTATGATTTGTTATCTGAAAATAAGAAGCCAGACTATTTACATTGACATGCTGTAGATGATGTAATATTTGTGGCAATTTCTGCTCATTTCAGGATCTCATTGATGATCATATTGCAAAGCGAGCCAAGAGAGGACCTGACCACAAAGTAATTGATGAAAATAGCCTCAAGTGGCGTCCCCCTGTGCAAGTGGACACCCGATAAATAAATGAAGCTTGCTTAACTATATAATGTACAGATGGTAAAACAATCTAACAATTTTTAACTTGTAAATAGCAGGAGGAGTAAAGTGGGTGGCTTAATCTCTTACAAAAACCTTCATAATTTTGATAGCAATGACTGTGTAATATTTGTAGTGCAATATACAGTGATTAGACAGGTGAAGAATAAGAAATACTTATTAAACTCACATAATGCGTAAAAAACCACAATGCTCGAAGCATTCTGAACATGTTCAGTGTTGGCAAGACTTTTGTAATACTATTATTGTACACCTATTATGGTGTGTGTTTCTAACTTCAAATTGGGAATGTAGTCTCGGAAAAATTCATGGGCCCTGGTGATCTGTGTATTGACAATTTTTTAATGAAATACAAGACACAAGTTGCTCCCGCAGAAGTGAGACTTGGTTAAAATAAAATCGTAATAGTGGTGTGTGTAGAGTCCGTTATAGACGTAGTGCATGTCTACAAGGAACATAAATTGATGTATGTAATGCTGTAAAACTTGCAGTGGTAATAATCTACCTATAATTGTGTAACGGTATATGTATTATAGTTTTCATATAATGACTTGCAGTCAGTGAAATAGGTGTAAATGACTGACTAATTAGTTTTATTTTTTTATTTAAGCAAAGTTTTGTGGTTGTCATAGACTAGTATGTACTTCTAATACAACTATTTCTTCTACCAACACCAATCAAAATTGAATTTGTAAGTAGAAATGACTTGGCACGTATTTTTCATGCAGCACTAATTTAGATAGTGACGGGTCATTTAATTAGGATTATGACAAATTCGTTGTTTTTTTATTTCACAATACTTCCATGTTTGGAGGCATAATGCAGAAAGCTCATCTGATATTAACTTACATATAAGTATGAAATAAGTTTACAAATTCAATAAGGGCATTTGTTTTACACTATCAAGTTATTGCTGTCGTTATTTTAATAGCTTCCTTATTGTACAGTGTGTGTGTGGTGGGTGGTGCGTGCGTGTACGTGCGTGCGCGCGCGCGTGTGCGTGTGTGTGTGTGTGTGTGTGTGTGTGTGTAGATGTTATATCCATAAGACGTCACTGCCTTTGTAAATTCTGTCAATTTGGATTGAAACGAATTAAAATAATAAATTCCAATAAATTTCAAGATCTTTCAAAGGTTTTGTTGCCACATGTCATTGATACATAATTTAATGATAGAAAGATGTTCAATAATGATGCATAGAAATTTAAAAAATAATGTAATCGAATCCATGTCGGATATAGCGATTAAGCATAGCTATAAGCTATATATACGTACGCGTATATCTAATTCATATAACTATTAATAACGTCAAGAGTAGATAATAACACAAGTAGATAATAAGACAATTGTGTTATTATCTACTCTTGACGTTATTAATAGTTATATGAATTAGATATACGCGTACGTATATATAGCTTATATATATATAGCTATGCTTAATCGCTATATCCGACATGGATTCGATTACACTATTTTTTTAATTTCTATGCATCATTATTGAACATCTTTCTATCATTAAATTA